TGGCCTCCCAGTTATCCACAGCAGCTTCTGGCTTCACCTCTAAACACAGAGACAGAACAGAAACAAGTTAACTTCTGTTCAGCGCAATAAAACACCACCCTGATACCTCCACTTCACACCTGCAGCTCTTACCTGGTTCTGCAGGCGGTGCCTCAGCCTCTGTTTCCATTGCAACTGGCTCTGGAGTCTCTGAAGTCGGCGAGGTCACTTCTGATGTTTCTGGGAAGGGGAATGACAAAATTATTTTTATTATATGACCAGCAGGAGGACTGTAGCGTCTCTCGGCTGGTGCGAGCAGCAGCGCTGTACCTTCAGGAGTCTGGGTGGCGGGCTTCTTCCTCCTCTTGTCTCCATAAACAGGTTTCTTCTTTTGCACCTCTTTGTCTCTGGATGGCACATCAACACCTGCACACACAGAATCATATTAGCTTTACAGAGCTGACTGTACTGGAATGACTGCATTATACTTCTGTAACCCTCCTTAGCGCCCCTCCCAGTCTGTCCTGCTCATAGCACCCACCCTGAGCCTGCAGCAACATGAGCGTGGCCTCAGCACGAGCTCGAGCTTCCTTCTGGGCCTTCGTCAGCAGCTTCCCCTCCTTCTTCAGGCGCTCCTTCCTCTCCTTCTCCTTCTGCTTCTTCTTCTCCTTGCGCTCCTGCTCCAGGCGCTCCTACAAGGGCAGCAAAACCGATGCCACAGCGATTCGCGATGAGACGACAGGAAAGACAAAAGTGAAGAAGAACAAGAAGGAGGTGGTGGAGCTTTGTGTTTTACCTTTTCCTGCCTCTCCTTCTCCAGCTCCTCCAGCCTCCTCTGCCGCTCCTCCTCCTCTTTCTTGGCTCGCTCCTCCTCCTGCAAAAACAGTTTAATCATTTTCAGATATCAAGCACCCATCCCATCATGATCTCCATGACTACGTCTCCCACAATGCCCCACCTCCTTCATCTTGGCCAGGGCCTCCTGCATGGCCTTCACTGTGGCCTTGCTAGGTCCCTTCTTCTTCTTGTCTTCATCCTTGTCTTTCTCTCCTTTCTTCTTCTTCTTGTCTTTCTTCTTTTTGTCGCCCTCCGGCTCCTCTGCAGAAGGAGAAGAAACCCGTCACACTGAATGGCATCACACGATTTCTTGTTTTTCCTGATAATAACTTACCCTCTGCTGCTGGCTCTGCCCCTTCCTGTTCTTCCAACACTGCTGCAGGAGGCGCATTTTGTGGAGGCGCGGACTCAGTCTTCTTCTCTGGCTCTTTCTTTGGCTCCACGCTGCCCTCCTTCTCCTTCTGCTTCTTCTGCTTCATCCTCTCCTCCTCTTTCTTTTTCCTCTCCCTCTCCTTCTTCTCTGCTTTCTTCTGTGCAGCCGTCTTGATTTTGAAGGTACCATCGTCCTCCTGCTGCTGCTCCTCCTCGTCTTCGCTCTCGGCCTTCAAAGGCTTCCCTTTCTTCTTCTTCTTGTCTCTCCTGGAGGTGAACTCCTCATCGTCTTCGGAGTCATCCTTTCCAACGCTGCCTCCTTCTTCTCCTTTCCTCATACCTTTGTCCTGGTCCTCCTCCTCGTCGGACACTGAAGGTTTTTTGCCTCCTTTCTTTCCTCCTTTGGTCTTCAGGCGAGACTGTGAGCTGCTGTCATCGTCAGATTCTGAAGCAGGAGTAGGAGGTGGGGCCTGGAGGAGCAAAGAATAGAAATTTAGACACTTTCTAAAGAGTCTGTGCTCTTATTTCTATGATATGACGTTTATGTTCATTATTTCACCTTCTTCTTCTCCTTTTGTTCTCCATTCCTTTCTCCATCAACATGACCTTCAGCATCATCACCCTCCTCATCCTCGGGGCTGGCTCCGCCCTTCTTTCCTTTTCTGGTCTTCTTCTTCTCCGGTTTAGGGGGCTCGAAACTCTCTACTTCTTCTGTGATGTCTGTTTTCTGCACAGAGAGAGATTCTTTGTATCAGAACAAATCTTCAATCTCTCTGACTGAAAAAGCATTTTTTAGCTGAAGTGCCCCTCGGATGCGTTTACCTTCCCCTTTCCTCCTGTGCTCTCGAGCGATAACTCCTCGAGCTCCTTCATGATGTCATCCTCACTGGAAGAGGAGGAAAGAACTGTTTTAGGAAATTTCAAAGCAGTAAGCTTGATTAAAATAAAAACGATCAGGAAGAATGTCTCACTCAAAGTCATCTTTCTTCCCTGCTTTCTTCTTCTTCTTTCCCTTTGGCTCTTTGGAAGCTCCGGCTCCTTCGATCTCCGCCGCCAGAGCGTCGATGTCATCTTTGGCACTGAGCACAGATTTGAAAAACGGTCAGAGCACGAGAGTGACACCCGACTAAAACCTGGTCAGACACTGAGAACACGGGCTGCGAGAGGAGACCGAGTTAGACTGTGTTTCTCTTTGTGTCAGAAGAATGTGAATGTGAAGAGCTGCTGACTCCTCATTTCCTTTCATTTCCCATCAGCCCTCTGAGGCACAGCGAGCACAGAGCGACAGCAGTGCTGTAACCACGGATTGCGTTCCCTCAAGTCACTGTAGATCAAATATCATCTGGCTTCAGACTCACAAAGGAAGACATCTAATCTGCTCTGTGAAACTGAAGATGAAGTATGGCAACAGCAAACCGCTGATTTATCAATTACATCTGAGATTTTCTGGCATTTTAGATCAAACTTTCAAAGTTTAAATTCATCTACAAAGTGAGCTGGAGGCACATTTGGATTACTGAGTAGGCCTCAAAAAGCTGCACACAGACTGTTAATATGTTGTGAGGGAAAACCTTAGAAGAGAGTTCATAAAGAGACAAAGTGTGCAGAAAAAGATGCACAGATGCACAAAAAGGTAAAACAAAAATTACAAAGGAACCAAACGTTAAATGCAAAGTTTAAAATAAAGAAAAAAAAAACCTCCTCAAGAATGAAGAAAAATGGAAAAAGTTATGACGAGAAACTTCAAGGAAAAACTAGAAAAAATGAAGTATAAAAAAATAATGGTAACGTGCACAAATAGCGAGTAAAGAGTCATAAACAAAGACGAAACACAAACAAATAAAACGAAACAAACAAACATAAAACCTGCAAAGGTGTAAGGAGAAGTTCAAAAACACAGACAGACAGTAAAAATCAGCAGACAAGAAACTACAAATGAATTTAATATAAGTTTTTGCTAGAAGCGGCATTACTACCTCAATACGCTTTAACACAGAAAACAATAATATTAAAACCCAACATCTGGCAGGAGTTTCATGCTCCATCTGTGACGTCAGTGTTTGCATCATCACTCCCGTTATATCTATATTTGAGTTAAATGTTTATTTCAGCTAATTAGTGTGTTTCCCTCCCTGAGCCGTTTAATCTGATCAGAGCGTTTCTCGTGCAACGGTGTCCATGGAGGGTTAAAACTAGTTTGAAGCCTCTCGACTATTATTAGTGCATTATTAGTATTGATTATAAATGAAAGATTAGGTGATCGGGTTCATCAGCGTACCAAAACCCGATCAAACTTTCCTTTCACAAGCAGGTGATCGCTCCCAGACTGTGGCGTGTCTGTACCTGCCTGCTCTGTTTATATTTACTATAATCACGTTTTAGAGTTTACTCGTCAATAAAGGAGCAACAGCAGCACATCTGTGCTGTACCTGGGGATAGCCGTGACCGCAGCGGCTCAGGTGATTCAGCCAGGCTTGCGTCATCGAGCAGGTCTTTGCTCACAGGTGATGTGTCTCCGTTACAGCAACTGCAGGCCGCCTCTTAGAGCAGCCGGCTCTGAGGCGGCTAACGCGGACACATGTGGCTCCCGTGAGCCCCGCAGCTGGCGGCGGGAGGCCCACCCAGGCCTAGGGTAACCCGGATTCGCCCGTGTCAGCCCGCCTGCTGTTCTGTAATTCTCCTTAAGCCACATTCAGGCTGTTTAAAGCTTCGCTGCCTCACTCCCTCACAGACTCGTGGTTAGCATCCGCTAGCATGGCTAGCCATTAAGCTAACAGTGTAAGCAGCGGGAAAACGGGCCAGTCTGGGGGTGTTCACGGGCCGGGAGAGCCCCGATGGGGCTCGGTGTCAGTGCGGACCAGTGATGTTTATCGGTAGCCGGTGCGCTCCCTACCTGTCCTCTCCGGATTTCTTCTGTTTCTTCCCCATCTTGAAGCTTCAGGTCTCCGCTTACTTTGCTCTGTGTTGGCCGACGCACACGACGACTCACAGCGGGCAAAGATCTCCTATTGTCCGCGAGGAGGGGCCACTCCGCTCCTCCACCTCTAATGCCATACATCCTAGGGTGACCAACCGTCCTCTTTTTGCACTTGTTGACTTGTAAAAGCTTATATGACATTTTTTATTTCACCTTTTATTAACCGCACAGAGAAGGCATCGTTTAAATATGTTAAAGTTTTCTTTAAGCAAACAGTAAGTTCTCCATGTCTGGGCCAAGTGTCCTCTTTTTTGGAAATCAAAATATGGTCACTCTAGTGACACATTTCCACAAGAGTTTGGGTTTATTTTCCACAGTTGATGATTTAATTAACTTTTACTATCAAAGTTGGAAAATGTCAAAACGTCTAAATACTTAAAGTGGCGAATAAAAGTGATGTATAAATGCCATTCCTCTCCATACAACAAAGATTTAATTACGCTATTATCAGTTTCTATTGCTTATCTTATTATTTTATTTAATACCTGCTTCTCTCCTAAATAATGATATCACGTGACCGTCTGTTCACGGAGAAATTGTCAGAGTGACACCTCCTGTTATATTCCCCTCCAGTGATTGGTCAGCACGCGTGGCTGAATCGGTACTTTTGCGCATGCGTTGTACGCCTTCGGTCTGACGACTTACAATAAAACTGTATTATTGATGATGCATTCGTTTCCTTCAGCCACATGCTTTTCATCATTATTAACTTTGTCCCACAGACTTTTATTTTGAAAGTCTGATCATATTTTTGTGCTTGAATTGATATTGGTTCAAATACATGTAATGATATGGTGTTTTAGGCTGATTTTTACCCGACAGTATACACATCAACTTGCATTTAAATATTTATTTAAGAAAATGAATATATACGATAACAGTGCTGGCACATTTATCGGGAGAGTTAGGTGTTATTTTACAGTACATGCTTAATAAAATAATAATAATAAAATAATTAAAGTTAACGGAGAAGGTTACAGTAAATTCATTTTTACCTGTATGTTTTGATTTGTGTGCTTAAAAACTGTTTGATTTATTGTTTTTGTGAATTTCCTAAAACAATTGTGTTTTCGTCTAAATATTTAGATGTTAAATACTAAAGTTATGTTAAAGTTAAATGTTTAGGCCTCTTTTAGATCTTGTTTTGCTGTATGAAAACCTTTTCAAATGTAGTTTTATGCATTTATAAAGAAAAAAGCATTAGCTGATGAGAAAAATGAAGGCGATAATAACATATGAGTTTTTGTATTTTTGTTGTAGTTGTTTTTGTATTTTACCAAATAAAATATAGAAAATAATAACCTGTGTGAATTTTCATGAACAGTTTTCACAGCTGTGACTAAATTACAGCAGCTCCTTTCAAGCATTTCAAATGAAGTGAAAAAGCAGCTCTGTTCACTCAAGAGGGTAAAAAAATGAAAACTCAGATGTCCGTAAATGTCTGTTCCAGGAAAACCTCTCAGCTGTGACGATCATTTCCTTTATTAATTGATTAGTTTTTTGGCTCAGATGATCTGCCCATCAGACATACAGACATCTCCTCCATTTCTAAGGTTTTAACCGGCTGTAATGTGGCCTGCAGCCTCTCACTTGTGTTTCATATTTGCCTCGTCTCAGCCCATCACAGTGAGCATGGCATCACACAGGCGGTGCAGTCGTGTGTGCGTTGCCCCGCTCTCTGAGCGTAGCAGTGCGCTGAAGGCAGCGGCGGCTCGATGTGGACAGAACCTCTCTCCAATCAGCACACTGCTTAGCTCGCTGCTTAGCTGCACGGGGACCCACTCCACAGGGACGTCCAAGTGGCAGCTCTCGATTTGCCCGTTCTTCACCTCCATTTGCAAGCGAGCAGAGCAGCGAGCGGGCGGCTGCTCATTCGTCAGCTCCAGCTGCGTCTCCATGGTGAACTTAGGCGTCTTCCCAAATGTCCAGTCCCAGCTCCGCAGCTCCATCTCCATCTCACCGACACCAGGAAACATGGACTCGTTAGTTGGGTCTATGACGGTCAACGCAGAGTGCAGGCCAAACTCTGAAACAAGACAAAAATAAATAAAGCAGAAACGTTTGAATACAGACAGAGCGTATCCTTTGGGGTGCAGGAAGACCGTACCTGTGTTATACTGCTGCACCAGAGCACCCAGGAGCTTCTCCCATTGCAGGGAGGGGGCATGGTCTAGGAGGTTGGCAACAGGCGAGGGGACGCTGGGAGTGGCATTGCTTTGGATGCCGGGGCAGGAAGGGCGGAGCACAGAGGAGAGGGCGGAGCGATCGGCAGAGTGAAGCAGTGTGCAGTGATGGTACGACGACTTCCTGCTCAGTCTGGATGCGGTGCCTGAAAGTAAACAAAATAACAAATAAAAAAAAATAAAAATCAGAAACATGAATGTAAACATCAAAGCTACACAAAAATAAACAGAGAATAGGCAACAAACATGAACAGTAACAAACACAGTAACAATTCTGGATTCTGAATTTGCTATGAAAGAGGAAGAGCTAGCAGCATGTGACCAATCAGAAACATGGAAACATCTACTTTTAGTTTTTATTAATCCAGCTGCAGAGTCGGTGTGTTTAATAGTCTGAGAGCAGATAAAGAAAAATATATTAAAACAACATTTAAAAACAGATATAAAAAAATATGAAGGAATAAATAATCTTTATTTATTGCTCATCAGGCAAACATGAAGACTTTAGACCCTCCAGCTCTCTACACTGTAATAACCACCACCATTGGGTGCTGCCAATGAAGTGTTGATTACAGTAGACCAGGGGTTTCAAAATCATTTATCATTAATTAGTCTGTATGTCTTTTATTTCTACTGTAATTAATTAATCTTCTTCCCTTTTTTGCTTTCTTGTGCTTTGATTCACTCCCTCTAGCCTCGTACCTGAGATCTTGTATCGTCCGTTTAGTAAGATGTCAAACCTGTCGGTGGCCTGGACGTCCAGTCCGGGCCGGAGGCGCCTCAGTGTGTCTGTGACCACCTTCAGGTTCCTCTGCCGATCGTACGCCTTCTTGGAAGTGAAAAAGGTCAGGTTGAGGTTGCCCAGGTCATGGAAGACCGTCCCACCGCCGCTCCGCCTGCGAGCCAGAGGGATGCCCGGTCTCCTCATGACCGGCAGGGTGCACTCGGTCCAAGGGTTCTGGTGGCGCCCGATGACAACGGCGGGCCGATTCCTCCATAGCAGCAAGATGCCACGCCCCTGCAGTTCTACGTTGGCGTCAATCCAGTCCTCCAGAGCCAGATTCTGGTACACATCGGTGGAGTGAGACTGGAGGACCAATCCTGCACTGTCAGAGTCTGTGAAGAAGCTGGATCTGGAGCAGGCTCGCTGGTTTAAAAGAGAAAACGTCCTTTTGATCTGTGACATCATTGTGCTTTCTGACATCACTTCATGTCAGGAGGTCAGGAACATCTAAAATGTCAAAATAAAAGCAACAGGAAATGAATTTGTCTTTTTGTGTGTGCACTTTTTCCATCATAGATATTATTGTCAACGTTTCAGGTGGAAGGACAAAAAATAAAAAAACTGATGGAAAACTCACTTAGCTTAAAATAGCTATCATCTGTAACATTTCACTAATATCTCAATATTTTTTATATTTTACTCAGAAAAGGAATATAACTGTTTGAACCTTGTCATTTGGCAGAAATGGAGCTCTTAAACCTTTTTCTTTAATAACTTTGAGACATTTCCTTTTAAATTTGGAAACAAAGTTATTTTAATGACAAAAACCATAAAGGACCAGAAGCAGCAACATAAACAGACACTTTGTATCATTGTTTTTTAAACTGCACCACGTTCACGACGTACAACGTAACGTCTGACGACACAGACCCCTGCTTCTCCGAACGTCCTGTAGCTGTTAGCTTACCACTAACTCCTCGCGCTGTTTTTAAAACGCGAGCTGCAGCTGTAAGTCATTTCACGTGCACAAACAGCCACTCACAGACCGTGCTTACCGGGATTGAAAGCGGATGCTGGTCTCCGCAGACCCGGACCGGAGATGAGCTCCTGGTACGGACACGAACTGCAACCAACTTCCGCTTCGAACTTTCAAAGTAAAACTACGCAAAGCCTTACACAGATTTTTATACACCTTATTTTATTGTCACAGTATATATTTGGTTTTATCCTTAAACAACAAGAACAACGAAATAAACAACAAACAATATGAATAATCATAACAAAAACTAATTAAAAATACATAATTGATATATAATAATAGTAAATAAATAACTGAATAAATAAATATATAACTTAAAACAATAATTACAAATTTAAATATCTGTGACAACGAGGAAAAAAACACAATCACAAAATAATTCATTTAACTGGTTATGAATTTGCATGTCCTCCATAATTTAATATTAGGGAAGTTCCTGGCAACTAATTTCTTAGTCGACTAAATGAGAACAAAACGCAGAGTAAAACTAAGGAACACTCAGATATTAAGCAAAATTAGGTCTAACAGGTTTAGACATGAATTGAACACAAATTCCACTTATGTCTGTTTAACATTTTATTAAGAGAAAATACTAACTTGAATGTAACTAATGCATTTATGAAATGAAAGTTTTGATCTGACTGACTTTTATCACGTAACAAAAAACTAAGACAAAGGACTTTGCATCCTACTGCGAAAAAAAAAAGCCTTGCCACAAACTGTCAAAAGGGTAGCAAGGAAACTAATATAGTTACGAAATCTAAATCTAATTTCTTTTAAAAAAAAAACTTTTATAAATGTGTTTATACGTGATGTTCTATCACTTAAAAATTGCTGACAGAAAGAAGCTGAATAACTGCTTTTATTTTGGAAATACAAAGCGTTCAGATTTATGTATTTCCGCCTTTCCTGAGACTTGACTTGAACTCAGTCCTTCACTGAGAAAGCGGCCGTGCTGCACTGCAACATAGCTGACAACAGTTCCACCGAAAGTTTAGTATTCTGTTTATTTATTATCTTCATTTTCCCGAATTAAAATGTACTTTATGTGCTTTAACTCTAATTAACACAGACGTAGATAGTAGAATACAGACAACTGAGGTCTTGTTTTATAACACAGAACTATATATACGTGTATATATATTTTTTTAAATGCCATTATTAACAAAAATTGCATATGCAAAAATATAAATATAAATGTTCTGAGTGCTTGATTATTCTCAAAGTAAACTTCAGATTAGAATAATCTGTGCAGTTTTACTGTCTTTCTTTAATCTGGACTCAGACGTTTCAGGAAGCACCAACATGGTCAACAAAGCCGCCAAAAAACAAAGTGTTTCGAACATCTGCAGCAACATCTGCTGAGATTATAAAATTATTTTACCCACTTTGTTGTAATAGAATAAAGTTGTTAACCACATCGATTCAGTCAGCATTAAGATTGAAAAATCTTCATTTATTCACATATTTTGCGCTCTTTAAGATTCTCATTTGATAGTTTTTGTGTCTTACATTTCCTTCTTTGAACGCGTTGGTCTCCTCGGGCCTCTAAACTCGTAATCATGAGGAAGAAGCGCAGAGTATGAAGAATCGACCAAAGAGAGGAAGAGAGTGTGACCACATCCTGACACACACATACACACACACACGGTCAGAGTCAGTCAGTCTGAGTGGATGATGTTTCAGGTGAGCGCTCATTTTTGCATTTCAAACAAAATGTTTGCTGTCATTCTTCTTGATTTTTACTTTCAGTTTGTTCGTTTGTAATATTTACTGTTGTGCATCTGTCACATTAACCTTTTCAGCATAGACGTTTTCGCTCTAAATGATGCATAGGTTTACAGTTAAGGTGGAAACTCTCTGTCTCTATATAAAAATGTACATGTTTTAAAAGGCTTCATTATCTTTTCTGAAAAAAAAAACATTAAAAAAAAACCTAAAATCCAGATGTGAAAACAGAAGAAAAAGAATGAAATACAATGTTGGTGTTGACCTTCATGTAAAACTTGGAGGTGTCACTTTAAGAAAGGATGAATTTTAATCATCTCTGGGTGTGAATTCTTAGAAGTGTTATCACACATTCACACTTAGTCATATAGGCACCGTGTGGTCTACTTAGTAATGACAGGTCTACTTTGAGTTTAGTTGAATCTTCCATTGCACAGTATAGGTCAGCAGAGCCTTTCTACGCACACTAACAGTGCTTAAACACAGTTATTTCTGACTGCTAACTTTCTTTTCGTACAGGGTTTCAGCCATTGAAGAGGCAGCATTTCTTAACAAGAGCTATATTTGTTAAAATTAGGAAGCTATAGTGTGACCTGATGACGGCAACAGCTAAAATGCTCAACACGTGCCCTATACCATAACAACAAAGAAGTTAGAAATAAGGATTTTCACTTGAAACATGCAATTCTAATTGGACCATAATTTCCAAAGTAAGCTTAAAGTTTGATTATACTGAAAAGAAGACTTGATGGAGTGGACTTGAAAGTAAGACTGACATATAAACTCATTGGAAAAGTGTTCACTAAGCTCAGAGACCAAGTGAGCTGTAGACAAATTTTTCATACACGTCTATAAAATCAGGCTTGTGCTGGAAAACAAAGTTGTCACATTTTTTTCTGAGGTCCTCAGAATATCACCCAGAAAAAATTATTAGATCCAGTCTGGGAGAGATGAATGAGTTCATGGAGTATCTAAATGGGTGTACATACCCACCAAGCACTGGACCTCTACTGATGATGTTTTCAGGGCCAAATTTAGGTAGCATTTGTGCAGCCCAAAAGTAATTGGAAATTGGGCTGTGTTTAGTACATCTGATTTGAACCAAATTTCACTCAAGGTGGTCATATTATGTGGGCATTTTCAGGTTGTTGTAAAGACTCTTAGAAAATGATGTCTTGCAGCTACAAGGGCTTTGAATCTGTTGATGAACTGGGGACTTTCTTGTTGGAATTTGTGGAGGTGTTGCAATGTTAAAAGATTTGTCTGCTTGCGTTGGTTAGTGGTGTAAAGTAACACAAATAAGCCACAGTCTACAAGTTGCAAAGGTGAAGGCACAACAAATCTCAACCCCTACATGGATACTTGTGGTGGGCACTTAGCCAATGATTCAACTAGCCATGTTTTCTGCTCTGCTAAAGTAAAAAACTATCCTGATGGGTCCTATAGAGTTCAACCACTTTAATCTTGCAAGGTCTTAGCATTGCTTATCCAAACTAATAGAGAAACAAACAAACAAACAAATAGAGAACTAATGTTGTGTTCTAACATCAAAGGTACAAAACAAGTTTAAGTCATCATCCAAAGACAACAACATCTTGTGTGAAACTCCTCACAATCTTGGCGCTCAAGAAAAACAATTAAAATGAGTTTAGGCTTCAGCAAATGCAAGCTAAGTTGACCACTGGCAAGTTCAAAAGCTCTAACCTTACCAACTGGTTTGAATATCCCGGATGAGACCCCATATACCAGAAACTGGCTCTAGGTATATGGCAAAGAGTGCTTTACTTAAAATAGAATTTATCAGAAATAAACTTCCTTCCTTCCATGTCAGCCAGTTATCAGGAACTGTAAGCCAGGACCACCTGCAATACAGTAGGACTGCATTGGACTGTGTGGAAAGGCTTTATTACTAAGAAGAAGATGGATGGAAGGGCAGACCTTTCTCTTTTCTTGATATCTTTTTAGTGTAAAGAGGAAATGCCTTCTCACGTTTAAAAGTTGTTGAGTTGTTGCTCCTGATGTTTTTGCTTTGTGGGATGGAATCATACATTCAAGGCTATATTAGGGCTCCAAAAACACATCAATCTTTGTCTAAATTTGAACTAAACTAAACACTGCCCAGTTTTCAGTGACTGTTTTACAGTTAAATAAAGGCTAACCAGATGTTGCCCCACATCTGGTTTTTAGTATGTCTGTGTGCCTACACAAACTCTCATTAATCATTCATTATCACTTCAACTTAATGTTATTTGACTTCAAAATTTATTTCAATGACAGAAACATTTCATTCTGACCAAAAACTTTTGAACATTAGTATAGCTGCATTTCAAACTCAGCAGACAACCCCTATCAAGACAGATTCAGATCTACTGTAACAGTAAAGGTTTTCAATTGATATTGTGACTAATAAACAACAATCTAGATGTAAAAAAAGCAAAAGAAATGAATTAAATCTTTTTTTTAACCTCTATTATATATTCTCAAAATAAGACCACACACACTCACAGAAAAATAGACATCAAAAGAGTTTGCTAATAGAGTTTTTTGAGATTTTCCACAAAACAGTAAGCAAATTTTCCTCTTCCTTATCTTTTCTAAGAACACATCTGCATTCATTCTCTGCACAGAACCCAGAGTGTCACTAACCAGGCTTCAATTGCATCACTGCAGATTCTCATGAAGATGCCATCCAGATAAAGCACCATCTACTGACCACAATCATGCACAGAAACACACACACATTCAGGTCAAACAAGTGTGCATGCGCATGACATCATGTCTGACTGTTGGACATATTCTTCATCATCTACCCCTCCTATCACCTACCACCCCTCCCAGACCCCACCTTCCCTCTCCTCCCCCCACTCATTCAGGAACCATGGAAATCCTCCACACGCCAAGGTCATCATTTTTATTTTTTCTTTCCTTATTTAGATAATAATTATTACTGTTAAAAAAATCATCTTACTAACTTCTACTCATCAATTTACTCATTTATTGATTTCCTCATCTTCAGGTTACGTCCCCTCACCTCTTCCCCCAGCAGCAGGGATCCTCTTCCCCTTTCTTCCATCAGCCTCAGATAAACTCCCCTCAGACTCCATCCCCTCACCTCCCTCCTCCCCAGCTGACCTCCCCTCAGTTTGCTTATCCTCCTGTCACCTCTCCCCACCTTATACCCCATGCTCAGGTGACATCCCCTCATCCTGAACAACAGCCACTGATAACCTCCCCTCACCTCCTCTCCCCAACTCAGCACGCCCTTTATCCTGAACTGCAGCCACAGATAT